GAGGGTAGGCTAAGAAAATAGAGATGAACAGCATTCATCAGTAGCAGGATAAGGAACTGGAAAGCGGACAGATAGCTATCTTATTATATGGGCTACATGTTTTGTGTATAACTCATCCATTGAGTAGTCACAACTGATATATTTTATTTTATCAGTAGCACCTATTTTCATTTGGAATGGAAGATTTATGCTATGCTATTCTAGAGGGAAGAACAAATTGACTTTAAGACCATACTTAAAAGAGAATGTCAAATTAAAGTCTTATGGTGGTGGTGACAAGTAACTACATCAAACATTTTCAAGACCTTTTATACTCTCAAACCGAATTTTAACTTGCACCTTTGGCTCCAACCTCAAACTGGTATTATTCAATTTGCACCTCTCACTTTACAAGAGAGTAACTCAATGGATCATAATAAACATGCAACTAATAGTTGCAGGTAGTAAATTGAGATTGCAATGTCAAAAGATAGAGAATGAAAAAAATCTAATAAGTGTACCAAGGAAAATATATACATATTTTCAGAATGTGAAACCTATAACTGCAATATGCAAAGTTTATGTTAAAGTTGTTCTTCTCCTGATAAATAAACTAGTCTTTCCTAGATCAATAAGCTGTAAGACGATATCTGCGTGAGAGTCATAGCATTGCAAGGATACTCAATGATCTGATTAACGCAGTAAAATTTTAATACATATTTGGGAAAATGGAGTTGTTTCCAGCTACAGAATGGTAACAAATAATACATCCATTCACAGAAAAAAAGGCAATTTACACCAATCCTTCATAATCTAGAGACTTAAAGACAACCTAAGCTTCTGAAATTTAGTTGTACTAATAAGAGCAAATTAGATAGGCCACCTACTTAAAGGCAGTAAGTAAACACAGAAGCAGTCTTACATACTTCGCACCTGATGATATAAACTTTAAAATCCACCTCTAGCTCTTCTAAGATGCGAGCTAAGAACGAACAAATCTTAAGATGAACTGAAAAAGGATTAGATCAAATTTAATTAAGTTTCAAAAAATTTGTATAACATGCTTATAGGTTAAAGAAAGGATAAAGTCACGAGTCCAACTTTTCTTTGTTCTCTCCTGTTTTTTTTTTATGACAAAAGGGAAACTCGCAGCCGCTACCCTTTGGGTGCGCACAAGGTAAAACCACCGCTCCTATGCAATAGTTTGCAAACCACATAAGAGAGATAACCCGCACTAAGCAAGCCCGATGCAACGAGCTCGACCCAGAAGGCAAACCCCTTACTTTCGTTGGCAAGTGATTTCGAACTTGAGACCTCCCATCCCAAGTCCAAACCACTAGGCCACCCCAAAGTGTCTCTGTTTTCTCCTGTTAGGTTCCCAACCTAAAAATTAGTTCACTAGTTTGTCTTTTCAGTCATAATTTGTGCACCATCATAGTTCATTCCAGTTCTTTACATTCTTGTCCATTAGTTTGTATACTTTGAACCTACAGTTTCAATTGTGCACCTCATCCAGGGAGCTGGAAGTTGGCAAAGTTACTCTTAACTAATTTCTCACCTCCGCATCATGTAAAACTTGGTTTGAATTTCAACATTTTGTTTATCTAGCGATATCGCAGGGGAATAAGATATTGTCATGAATGAGGTAATATAAAGTCAGTTTGCAATCAATACCAACTCTTTTGTACTGCAACTGCTTTTTTTCTTTTACTTCAAGAGGCACATGTAGCTGCTAAAAAATTCACTATTTCCCCTAAAGCTAAACACACATATTCGCAATTTGTGAAATAAACAGGAAATGTATTCTCAGCGATGAAACTACAACTACTGAAGCAACAGCAAAAAATATCATTCTCTTATATACAGAACAGACAGAAATCAGATAACAGTAAATGGCCAAAAATCTTCAGTCTACATCTGTTGAAATTAGACATAATACATATATTGGACCCTAAACTTAAATTTTAATTTTAACGTCCAACTTTTATAATGTACAAACAGACACTTTTAAACAAATAAACACATGATACAGTACACATAAGAGACCACGTAGGATAAAAAAATAACATGTTGAACAAGTGTGTCTATTTGTACTTCGAAAGATATAAATATGATTTGAGGGTAAGTTATTATGCCTTTGAAATTATGTCATCTTTCAAGTTACTGTACATTTCAAGAATTGCATACTTAACCCTAAACTAGATCGTTGTAACACACAAGTATCAAAACAATAGACCATTTTAATAACCGGGAACTAGCAAAAATTCGATGTTAGAGTTCTGAAAGGAAGGTGAATTTCAGCAATCAAAGCAAATTGATAAGTATAATGCTACTCCAGAAAATTTACGGAGAGCGTGCAAGCAAGCAAATGTTGAAGAAGGTACCAAAATCACCTGTAAAGAAACTAAATTGAATGAAACAAAAAAAATAAAATATATATATATATATACACAGTACCTGCAATGGAAGGTATTTAAATCATAATCGGCGACGGAAAATTGCTATTATACACTTTTTGACAATTTTGTTTTTCTAAAAAATAAAAAAAACTTGTCTCCATTTGATATGTGCAAAAGTTACATTGTGCTTTTTGCTAACTAAATTTTGTACATGATCGTGTCCCTATAACTTAAAAAAGAATTAAGTAGCAAAAATGTGTATTTCTTCACTGTTTCTGAGCATTCCACCACTAACATATAGTACTACTCTCATCACTGTGGGGAATTTGATCCATTGCACAACTCTACAAGTTCAGTGCTCCATTCTTGTTTCACATGTTACTCCATAAAATATGCTTTGCCAGTCTTCACCTGTTGAGTCTGGAACCTAAATACAACAAAAACAGTAAAAGTGATAAAAAATAAGTCACTTTAAGGAAAGAAATTACTCCACTTTATCTAATATGTTAAATAGTTTTCGTTAGTCTCATAACATATTAATTTAATATATAATGAAACTATTTATTACATTTTATTAAGTATAATTTTTTCTTACATTTTGTTAAGAAAGTCTTTTCTTACACTTTATAAAGTAGAAGAAAATTTTACAATTGGAGCAACATTTCTATCGTGCTGAGGTAATCGCTACAAAATATAATAATAATAATAATAATAAAATTAAAAAATCATATAAATTAATAATTAATTGACAAAATCAACAAATAATTATCGAAATAAAAGTCATTTTTATTGATAGTTTCGTTCAAATGAAAATCATATCGATCGATAAAAATATTTTAATAATGAGTCATGTTAGAAAAATTAGTAAATTGAGTTATCGGAAATTCATCAACACTATTATGATATTCTAATCGGGGATGGACATCGAACGATAAAGGAGAACGTTGCAAACTAGTCTTAGACTCTTTTCTAGCATAGATTTTAAGTATTGTCAACTTGATTTAATCTATGTAGTCATTTGGAACCATCAAAAAGTCTGTCAACAGTTCGTCATTATAAATAGTTCACTCTCCAAAATTTACTTGTCCTTGTGATAAAAATGAAGTGGGGTATTTTCTTACTATAATCAAATTATAATCAGTACTATTTATACTCATTCTTTTATAAATTGATAAGAAAAAATTATGACATTGGACATTGATTGAATATTTAGCATTATGTTTGGGAGAACAATTATGATAAACGGTATTTTCATAATGTATAATTTCGTCATTCCAATAAATCGAAACTCTGGCTTTTGAGGTAGAAGACATTTTTTGTGATGAAATGATGAAAAATAGAAGACTAAATATTTTGAAGATGCTGTGTTTGAATGTCCTTAAATAGAGTTTGGAGGAGTTTTCGGAAGAAAAAAAAATACATAATGTAATAATATTTTCCTGTTTTTATGATATGTCAAATCAATATAATTATATGACAAACACTGCAAAAACTTCATAAAGCTTCAAAACGTAAAAAATCTCTCTTTGTAAAACATAATTTTTTCTTCCACTTAATAAAGTGTAAGAAAAAATTCCACTTTACAAAGTGTGACAAAAACTTACACTTAATAAATAGTTCCGTTATATATATATATATTAAAATATACACGTTATGAAACTAACTAAAAACGTTTAGAATGTTAAATAAAGTAATTTTTTTCTTCCACTAAACCTATTTTAATTACTTTCTAAAATAGTGACTTATTTAGTTATTTTTATGGCTTATTTAGGTTCCAATTATGATTTCATCTCAAAACAAGCCCTTGACTTCCGCAAAATTTCTCTCTAAAGTATGTGACAAGATTAAAAACAATTTAGCATTGATTCTATGAAAATGAAAGTGTGATGATTTCAATTTTCTTTACTTAATCACAACGTCTTTAATTTAGTTGTGTACCGGACAAGGAGACCTGAAAACTATTTTCATTCTTATTTTGTTCAATATATGTTGTCGTGTCTTCGGAGTTGGATGTGTTGGCCATAACTTTCATGGATTTGGTTCGTATAATTTATATAACATTACATTTGTCATGTTTTTTCATAATCTCTCCTACTACTGTCCACTGTGTTGGTAACTGCAAATAGAAGTTGTTGATCTGGACATAAGATTCCTAAGTACAAGTTCTCCTACTAAACTTCACACAATCTTCCTTTTTTGAGTGCTTACAAGACTTATCCGAATTGAAAAATAAACACCAACAACTCCAGCTTCACTAAATAATATATTGTGAAAGGTACGTCGTCATGAATGAAAATCTATAAAGGTACATTCTTTCTTTTTACTTAATAACCTTGGCAAAACAAAATATTATGCGTTAGAACTTTTATATGTAAGCTAACAATTGTTCCTGTTCGCTACATGCATTATGTCTTTTTAATGAATTATGTATTGGTTACCAACAAAACTCTCTTTCTCTTTTAGGTTCGTGTAGTTAGGGAACTTGCCTCCTAAATGGCTTTCACTTAACTCGAATTTGAAAAATCCTTTGTCATCTTATTTCATAGAGTTTTTATCGACTCTTCAAAAATGCCAATGGGTGCATGTCAAATTCATCAAAAGTAAGGTATTTTTGATGAATCCAACACGAGTACGGCATCAAAAGTGAAGAATCGGCACAACTAACTAAGAATAATATGTTTGGATGAGAGAATCTGAACTTTTGTCAAATGGCTTTTTGAATAAAACAGGTCTCCCTGATTTGAGTTTATTGAAATGTGATAGTATGTTTGGGTGTTTCAATTTCCCTACAGTATGATCTACTATTTTCTTTCAAGAGAAAAATTATGTCTTTCATTTTGCATATGACATGTTTAATGAAAGTTATGTTCAAAATGTTAAAAGAATGATCTATTGATTCTTAATAAATATGTTCTCAACTTCTTTAATTGACATCCTAAGCAATGAATTACAAGTGATTGAGAAGAAACAAAATGAATATGACCTCTTCAACAACAACTGAACAAGAAAGGGTAATAGTAGTAACAAAACCTGAAACTTCAGGCAAGGTGCTGAAATTAACATGGCTGACCCCACTTGGTTTCAGCTTATAAAGTTTTTCTTTTCATGTGTGTGTGTTAACCTCTAATGTAGTCATATCCTTGGCTATTCTTTGTTCAGTATAATTAATAATAGACATCCTTAGTTTTCTAGCTATTATTATGACAACTAAAAATTCATTGTCCTTTGTGAAAATTGGAGTGCTCGAATAAGAAAATAGCTCCAAAGCTAAAAGAGTCCTAAGGTATAGGATAATAAAATTTAAAGAAGTTCAAAGGATAATGAAAGAACAAAGCTCCTCTAAATATACAATAAAGTTTTGCTTATAGTTTCGTCCATTTTCATTTTCAATTCGTAACATTATCAAGTTATTTTTTTGAGTTTGGTGTAATTTTATGGTAGTGATGATATTTCCATATATATATATAACATGATTTGAACTATTTATAAACCATATACATGAATGATTAAACACTCATTTGTTCTCTTTTTGATGTTCACTTTGGTAAATATGGTGAGAGCAAATGTCACTGACTCTTTTATTTCAAAAGAGACATTGAATTTATTTGGTAAATACAAAACTAATACAAGATATCATTTGACAAGTCTACATCATGATTCTATACTACTATAAAATTACCTATGTATTCAACGAGAATATATCTTTTGCAATAAAAATTTCCTACCCTTAAATTCTTTTTTTAGTATTTGAGTCATGCACTTGCCGAAGAAGTATTTGACCTCCTAGAGAACGTGAGAAGTTTCAAATATAAATTTATCATAAGCTAATTTAAAGATAATATTTTTTTTAGAAGGCCAAAAGTAAGGGACAAATAAAAGAGAGGTGTTTTGTGTGTTCAATGTTATATGTTTGGATGTGTATTGCTTCAAAGTATTTGTGAAATACCATTACTGAATTTATCTTCTACAACATTTACGGATCACAAGGGCGGGCATAACCAAGTACCTGCAGAACAGCTTGAAAGATCAGTCTCTCATCAGCTGTCCCATGGTAATGTAAGGAATCATCTACATGGTTATAAAGAAGTGGCGTTAGAGACGGAGGCAATACTCTGCTTTCTTTGTTTTCATAGAGTACTAACTCATCATGGTTGCCCATGCAGATTGGTATGATCTTTCATGAGATTGACGATTTTAACTGTCAGGTATATCCAAAGGCTATGAAGAAGAAAAAATTGTTTACATGTTAGAAGGATTCGAGAAGTAGCAGAATCTCTAAGAGGAGATTCATCTGTGTAGTTGTCTATTTAACACAAGTCTGAATCATCTAAAGAGATATCAATTGGAGAGAATGTAGAACCAATCTGTATGGAAGGAGAGATGATTAAGCTTTTAGTAGCTGAATCCAACATTAATTCTATGTTTTCATTCAATTTTTATCATAATGGAAGACACTCTTAACTTAAAAAGTCACCGTTGCTCCATTATTACAAGATACTCAATTACATGTGTTTATGCTCAAAATTTGTCTATCCATTGATAATATTGACTCTCGTCTTTCGTCGCTCTGCTTATATTAGTTTTTTCTTGTTACTGCCACTTATATAGTGAGGAAGATATCATGAACAAAAACACGCATCTAATAATTACACGAAAATTGATCTAATCTGTGTAATGGCTAACATGGGATATATAAGAACGTACTTAATTATATAGATTACAACTCACACACAAATGCCAAATGCAAGTTCCCTTCATGCTAGACACACATTCTAACTGTCCTTCCGTCTCCATTCTCTTCTTCCATGTCGAATGCCAAACACATACTTAATGTATAAGATAGTTGAGACAAACATCTCATATTTTCCTTGAATTTTTTGGTTCATGTTATTCTATAAAATAATTCTTCTACTTCTTTTCAATTTTCTTTACTTATAATTTTTCTTTTTGGTGATTACCTAATTTGGTTGATATATGTCTCAATTCTAGCATTCACACTGTTTTATCGAAAATATTATTTTTTTCTTAAGTATTTCGATTTTTCGATTTTTAGAGTCGCCACTTGGTTTTTTAAAAAAAATTAAGAAAATTAACGTTTTCAAAAGACTTAAACAGATAAAGTTATTGAAAACATTTAAGAGGTTCGGGAATTCATATTAATATTCTAGGAAGGCCATCACTTTAGCAGGGATATTCAACTACTTGCGATTCATTCCTTATACAAAAAAAAACATACTAGAAGGGCTGTAAGGAATCGGAGTGAAATATGGCATAATGCCTCTCAAAACCTTTCTGTAGGAAAATCATTTGCAACTAAACACCCTGAGCATAATCATAAAGACGATAACAAGATAAAATATAAAAAAAAAACATAGAGAGGATGAAAGGGGCACAACAAAATGGAGTCCGAAACTTAAAGGGTACAAAATATTAACAAAAGATACAAAATGGTATATAAAATTTTATATTAACCAAAATCGTAAAATCGCTACATCAACAGCGACTTACCTCACCTAAAAAAGCAAAATTGCTGCCTCTACAGCGATTTTGCAAAAGTTGTTTTTTTTTATATAAAAAAATGAAATCACTTTTTTTTCCTTAAAAATCGCTGCCTTTTTAATTTTTTTTTAAAAATAAGGTACATTGTTGCTGAGGCAGCGATATATATATATATATATATATGTAAATCGCTGTCACAAGAAAAAAAAATTTAAAAATGAAATCGCTGCCAAGGCAGCGATTTAACATTTTGTAAAAAAAATTAATTTTTTTATAAATAAGGCGATTTTGTAAAAAAAAAAAATTTATAAATCGCTACCTTGGAAACGATTTTATTAAAAAAAAAATTTAAATCGCTGCCTAGAAAGCTATTTCAAAAAAAAATGTTAACGCAGCAATTTTATATAGAAAAAAATTATAATATTTTTAAAAATTTAAATATATAACTATAAGAAAATATACATTATTTTTTTAAAAAAAATAAATATATTTTCTTTCTAAAAAATGATATTATATTGAATTTAAATTTAAATAATATTTGAATTCAAATAAAATTTTAAATTCAAATAATTAAATTTTTTAAATAAAAAATTAAAGCCAGCGATTTTATTGATTTTTTTAAAAATATAATTATATATATATAATTATATTTTAAAAAAATTCAAGATAATCACATGTAAATAGTGTAGATGGATTGATTGATTCACATGTAAATAGTAAAGATTTTGTTTTATAATAAATTGTTGAATACAGAGTTCACGTGTAAATAGTATCAATATTTTTACAATATTATGAATTGTTGAATTATCATTCATATTGCATTCTACTTTTTCAATTTTCCAACAATCTTAAAATTCTTGTTATTTTTCTAATTCTCTAATGTTTTTAAAAGCTTTTTCTTTATAAGGTGAGTTTAAATTTATTTTATACTTTTATATAATATATTCAATCGTTTGATACTTATATTAATGTTAATATTTTTTTTATTTTTTGTGTATAGATATTCATCCGTCAAATGTATACGTACATCCTGATCCAGTAGAGCATGATGTATTAAAAATTCAAGTTCATCATCGTTCTGAAGGAATTTGGATTGGTAGCATAAAAGAAAAGAGGTCTTGCTTATATACGCGTCGTACTGATATTGAATTTTAGCAACATATAAAATATCATTTATTACATTCTCGCATCCGTCAATATTTTTAAAATTGTAGATTTAAAGAAATTCTTGATGTAGGATGTGTGTCGTATGACTCCAGATTAATTTCTGCTTTAATTGAAAGATGGCGTCCAGAAACTCATACTTTTCACATGCGAACTGACGAGACTACCATAACTTTTCAAGATATTGAAATTTTATTCGGAATGGTAGTAGATTGTAGTCTTATAATTTTAAATGAAACTGATTCTTTAAGATTATAGACAAACAAGAAATGATATTTGAATTAACAATATGGTACCCGATACTAGTTATAGGATTACAATCTACTATCATTCTGAATAAAATTTCAATATCTTGTAAAGTTATGATAGCCTCGCTAGTTCGCATATGAAAAGTATGAGTTCTGGACGCAGCCTTTCAATTAAAGCAGAAATTAATCCGGAGTCATACGACACACATCCTATATCAAGAATTCCTTTAAATCTACAATTTTAAAAATATTGACGGATGCGAGAATGTAATGGATGAAATTTTAAATGTTGCCAAAATTCAATATCACCACAACGCGTATTTAAACAAGACCTCTCTTCTTTTATGTTACTATTCCAAATTCCTTCGGAACAATGATTAACTTAAATTTTTAATACATCATGCTCTACTGGACCAGAATATAGGTATACATTTGACGGATACATATCTATACACAAAAAAATAAAAAAAAATATTAACATTAATATAAATATCAAACGATTATATATATCAACAATATAAAATAAAAGTATGAAATTAATTAAAATAAAATAAATTCAAACTCACCTTATAAAGGAAATGCTTTTAAAAATTTGAGAGGATTAGAAAAATAACAAGAATTTTAAGATTGTTAAAAAATTGAAAAAAGTAAAATGCAATATGAATGATAATTCAGTAATTTATAACATTGTAAAAATATTGATACTATTTACACGTAAACTATGTATTCAATAATTTATAATAAAACAAAATCTTTACTATTTACATGTAAATCAATCAATCCATCTACACTATTTACATGTGATTATCTACACTATTTACAAAATGTTAAATCGTTTCATCAAAAAAAATTCTTTAAATTGCTGGCAAGGCAGCGATTTAACATTTTTTTTAAAAAAAATTAATTAATTCGCTGCCACAGCAGCGATGTACCTTATTTTTATAAAAAAAATTAAAATCATTGTGTTGGCAGCGATTTTTAAGAAAAAAATTTTGAAATCGTTGTGTACAAAAAACTTTTGCAAAATTGTTACAGAGGCAGTGATTTTGCTTTTTCAAATGAAGTAAGTCGCTGTTGATGCAGCGAATTTACCGTTTTAATTAATATAAAATTTTATATACCATTTTAAAATTTTTGTTAATATTTTAAGTCTCAGACTCCAACAAAAAAAAATGTCTAACCAACAATATCTAACATGATAAAGTACTAAGTTGGGAAAGAATGATCCCATGTAAATTAAAAAAACAAGATACCGAATAAGACAGCGACTTCACTATAAAAACTAGCCAAGACTTAAAGGCAAAACTCAGTTTTGACTAAACCACAAAATCATGTCACAACGCAACTTAATAAACTACCCCAAAAGAAATCGAGAACACATTTTAAACGAAGGCAACGAGATCGAATGAACCCAAATAAAAACTGCGAGACAACTTACATGAAGTCAAATCTTAACAACCCATCAAAGGTCGATCTAAAACTCAAAAGAAAGAGAAGGATTTCGAGACATTCAAAACAAGCAATGAGTACCACACTATCTCGGTAAAATGAACAAGTCAATGCCGATTCGGCCAACAATACCCAAACAAAATTAGGATAAAACTCGAAGAAGACTTGAACATAGAACAAATACTAAATCACCTTGACTAGGGAAACAAAAATATTCATCAATTTTTAACAGATGGGAAAAGATCTAAGACTTCCACCAATATAAAACCCTTTTGAACTGGAAGAGCACAGAAAAACGCGATTCGAGTATAATAAATTCAAACAACTGAAAGAATCACGGCTGTTTACCTTGTAGTGGGCAGCGAAACAGGGAAAACACGAGCCAAAGCGAAAAAAAACCAGGGTAAAAATGAGAATTCAACTCCCCTTTTGAATTCGAAAAACCCCTAGGACGAAGGAGCTCCGTAAGGGATTCGACCCAAATCCCGCGATATCTGGAAAAACAAAGAGCGCTGGACGGTTTGGATCAAAGATAGCGTCCTTGCGTGGCTTGATCTCACGCTTGGAAAGACGATTCCGCACTGCCATAGCAGCTGCTCTTGCTGCTGCTGAAACTTGTATGAAAAAGGTGGAGATATACGTTGGGATGCGTCAGTCTTCACACGAGGAGGGCGACGCGCATGCCGCTACAATCTTCTCACTCGCTCGCTGACGCTGAGCTGGAGAGTTGTCCTTTAGAAGTTGGAGCGGACGCGCGTCCTGGATATTTCTCTTGGAGAAAAAGACGTGGCCGGGTTAGGAAAAGGACGGGTTATCGGGTTGAAGGGAAGAGTTGGGCTTGAAGGAGTAGATGGGTTACTGATTTGAATTTGGGCTGGGCAGCTATGGTGGGCTAAATGGAAAATTGATAAAAAAAAATTAGTAAACTAGTCAAAATAAATAACATATTTAGTAAAAATATCCATACTTTATAAATATTAGCAATAATGTCAAAAATGTCATTATTTTTAAAAATTTATGTGTCCCAATTTTCTTCCTATTTTATCTCTCTTTTTCAATTAATTCTATGTATCCTTTTTTTTAAAAAAAAATTATTCTCTCTCATATTTATCTTTTCAAATTGTTAATTCTCTCTCCCATTTAATTTTTTTTCTCTCTTATGATTATCTTTTCTGATTTTTCTCCAACATTCGTTGCAAATATTTTTTTGCCATATATTTTTG